CTGCTAAAAGTAAAGCACATCCATACAAAACTTAAACCTCCCCCCCCACGCACATCTTAGTGTTCGCCAACATAATCGAAAGTCTGTGCCAAATTATAATACAATTCACGATGCGCAGAAGTTTCGGCAAAGCATTAATACATATATATTGTTGAGAGTTGAGGGTTGAGAGAAAGTTCCCCTAATGTCCCTGAATGCCGGCCGGCTCATACTGATGCTTTACATATGTATTTTGTCGATGACGTTTATAAGTTCCCATTAGCAAATATTCGTATTATACCTTACAAGCGAGCAACCGAGCATTGTAAATATTTTTTATAGTTTTGCATTTGACACATCTTATCTGATTTACTGAATCTTACAAAAACAGAAACATGTTTGTAATATATTTGATGTGAAATCAACTTTAAACCGTAGAAATAAAGGATGAACTCTTTATAAGGGACACGTAAACTAATTCATTTTGAGGATGCATTCCGTCTCTTGTCAAATAATGCATTACTGATATTGTTGTTGTTGTTCCGTTATCGCTCGAAGATAGCGTACCAAGTGGGAAAGGGACAGATGCGCGCTCACAATTAACCAACTTTGACAACAGAAGAAGGCAATCTGTCGTTGTCAAATCTTTCTTTTGGTGGGTCCGCATTTCGACTGTTCATATATATATAACTAATTAAAGATATAAAACTTTTAACATTTATATGAGATATTAACAAATAAAAAAGAAAGTTATTTATTTTTTTAGTTAATTGTGCGATATATAGTCAAATTATTTAAATTAATAAAAAAAGTAATAAAATAACTAAATAATAGTACTTATTTGTTCGATTAATTTTATTAGAAGATTGTAGATAGTTGTTTGTTATGCGCGTACGTATAGGCACTATGACACCCGTCCATTAAGCACGACATTAATCCCCATACTTAATTAATTTTATCCTTACAAAGACAATCTATAATTCGTGTAGGTCCGTGAAAAAATAAGAATATGTTGAGGGAGGGAGTACGGGTACGCTAAAGTGGCTAATGGAAACAATGAATTTGCATACCTATTTATTATTATAAGAAATCTATAAGAATATGTTTACTAAAACCTGAGGGATCGTATCATATCGACCTTAATGCACATAAACATTTTGCCCATATCGCATAATAATTTCAAATGTCCTCCACGCGTGCAACTAAGGAAGACTATTTTCAATCAAAATAGGTATGGAATGATACGCAAATTAATATTTATATATACCTAGAATTCAAGTATCATTTTACATGAATACGTTAACAATCACTAATAAATTTTCTAAAGTAATTGAGCCCTTTGAATATGAAGTTGTTATTGTGATGGATTGAAGCGCGGGAGTTATTAGGAGGGGCACGTGGTGGCAAGGACGAAAGGGCGGTGGGCGGTGCATCAGTGCAGGCGCCAGGCGCGACTCATTCACCTGTCGCTGGCGACCACCCTTCAGCAGGCGAGCGTGGAAGGAACTCGGCGTGTCGATGGTGTGCTGGCGGGAGAGTGCCACATGAGGGGTCGACGTCGAGTTTTGCCTGAACCATGGCAAAGATATTTTACGGCGGCTCCTGCGGGGGTCGGGGGGCGCGGGCCCCGCGAGGGGCGGGGTCGTGCCCATAGCCCGAGCGCCGCGTGTGCCGCGCGGCAGAGCTCGCCGCGTCGCGTCGTCCGGAGCGGCGCGCGACGCTCCGGCCACTGCCGCCGCGCGCCGGCGCCCCGCCCGGCCGCCCGGTTGCCGCTTCCTCGCTCGCTCACTACGCAGCCTCCGTATTGAGCTACACTTCCCGAGCTGCCGACTGCCCGAGTGGCGCGCTTGTTCCATCCGCGACAGCGGTACTGGGTTCGACACCGCAACAGTTGTCCTTAATTGTGTACAACGTTTCCTAATGTATTCTATAATAAATACGCGTCCCGACATACGTAGCATTTCGTTTTATTTAAAACTAGCAGTAGCCGGCGACTTCCTCAGCGCAGAATTAAAAAATAATGTAGCCAATAATATTGTGCCCGTGTGCATCGGTTTCCTTCCTGTCAATATAGGTTCAGCCGTTCCGGACAAGTTTCATGCTTTCGTTTCAAATAAAGTTTCGTCCGCGCGGGATAAAAAAAGTCCAGTGATAAATATAGCCTATATCACCCGGGCTAGTGTAGCTTCCCAATAGTTCACTAGTTTCAAAGCCTATTAAATCCAAATAAACAGTCAATCAAATCTTTTCTCTTTATATAATAATATAAGTATAGATAAATAAACCATACATATGAAAAGGGTGGAGGGGATGATATTGGGGAGAGAAGTGTAACAAAGTTTGATTATAAACTGATGTAAATTATTGGCGTTCTACAACACTCCTTAAAAATATGAATACGATTAAGGGGCCACGAGACATCTGTGTTAGAATTAATCCTTTATGAAAAACAGAGTTGAGACAAATTATCAAAATATATTTTATGTTCAAATACTTGTATTAATGTCAAGGTGATTTTCTCACAGGAAGTATTTAATAGTAAAGGTTTAGTGCGGCGAATTCACCTATCAAATACGGTTTTATAGTTAACTATTTATGAAGAACAAAGATGATATGAATTGCAACATATCATCATTCGTCCTTCTTTCCTTGGGTTTGACTCCAATAACATATCCCACTCCCTTTAAAAAAAACATCCCTAAACGTAATAACACTTTCTCCCTCATACGCAAATCCATTCCTCATTTCGCCACCTTTTATCGTATTTTTATAGTACTGATGCAGTGCAACATGCAACTATCGGCACTACAATCGTTTGGTTAATCTTGCTAAGTCTTTTTATTCATTGGGTTTGTCAATTACAAATTTAAATGATAATTTTTAAAAGGATCGCGCAATTTAGTGTCGGATGCAATGTTCGCAGCGAACGCCAAACAGACATCGTCATAAAAATAAGATGCACACTGGACTCGTAAAAACGCAAACAGAATCTCTTTTACATCGTAAATGTAAATCCATTTAATTTATGATTATCTGCAGAAAAACGTAAAGTACCATGTGTACATACATACCACATGCTACGCTGAGGCCGCTGGCCACACTTAACACCACTCTCCTCACCTGCGCTTTTATCTATACAGCTAAAGAAAAGTGAAGTTTCATTATGCAATATGTAAATTACATTTGCATATTTATAAAATGTAGTTTTATGGCACTTATACAATAAAAATCCATTTTTGTCCGATGTTCCCCGAGTACAAGTAAAAGAGTAAAACTGTGAAATGCCGGGGCAAATTTTGACAGAACTTTCAACAAAAAGTATATTTTTATATAAAGGTGTATAATGTGGAATTCATAAAATATTGAAGCGTCGCTGCACTTAAAGCGTACTAGCGCCGGTTCTAAGGCGAAAAATTGCGAATCAATTAATTGCTATTTAAAATGGTTACTTTTTAAATTTAAATGTAGATTTTGTCGTATGTTTTGTGTTTTAGTTTGGTCTATATAGAAAAAAGTGTCGATTTTCAGACATGCGAATGCATACTGCGCGCCTGGATGGATGGATGGAGGGATGTTACTAAGTATCTGCGATATTTGGTATAGTGGCTCACGACTTCATCCGCATATTTCTTCGGGTTGCAAAATCGATAAACAAAATGAAATAAGTCTATGTCACTCCAGCATAAATCAGCTACCTTCCATCAAAAGTCGCGTCAAAACCGGTCCAACCGTTTCAACGATTACCCGGAAGGAACGTCAAGTTGCAGACACACACACACACACACACATAAATTTTAATAATTGTTTTGTTGTTAAAATATAAACATTTTACATTGATATAAGGACACTTCATTTTCATTTATTTATATAGATTTAGCCGTTGCACGGTTTGGTGAAAGGTGGAACAAATGATATGTGCGGGTGCGGTTGGTTGCATGCGGCGGCCATCACTCTGCGTTATTGACCGCCGCCCGCCGCCCGCCGCTAGCCGACCGGCGCGACCCTACGTGTCTGCACCTCGATTTTGCCAGCGGTGCATTCGTGAACACTCCAGGTAATTAACAGATGTCAGAAAAATACATTTCGCATAAACGAATATTTTGTTTGAATGTCGTTTTTTTTACTCCACTGAAAACAGGGTAATGTATTTCGCACGAAGGTACATTTATTTTTATGCATGAGGATTTGCATATACATATATAGATTTTTTTACTAGTTAAGTCCTTACATTTGATACCCAGGTTGAGGCGGTTGTACTTGTAAATATATGTAATCTGGCATTTTGTGACGGCGGCCTGGATTTTACATAGGGCATTATATTATTTTACAAGCAAGACAAGGGGCACTTCTATGTCCCACCCGATATTTTTCTACGGATTAGCGTTTTTATGTCAATTTAAATCTTTACGTCTATCATCAACTTATTAATTTCCTAATGTCTTACTAATAAATGTTTCGTTATGGTATTTTTTTATATCAAAAGATGGCAAAAGAGCGAGCGGGTACATGAAATAGCGAAGTGACCATGCAAAGACATATGAAATTGCATATGCGTTGCCACCTTTGATCGACGGAGGAGGAGATGCACAGAAATAAAATATTTTCCTTTCCCATGCCTTCCCCTATTCCGGAAAGTCCACTTCCACTTCCCATCCTTTCCTTATAAGAAAAAGGGTGAGAAGGAAAAGGGGATTAGAATTAGGCCTCCGGGACGCACACTCATCAGACTGTAGTTGGAATTGCTTCCACTTCACGCCTGTCTTCTGTGTGGTCGTGGTATTTCACCGGGCGATCCAGGCCCATTCGTACGAACATGTTGAAGCGGGCTCTAACACTATTAACATTATTAGTGTTAATTAAAATAAGATTTCTCATTCATTCACATAGAAAGAAGTTGAGTATCGAAGTAGTAACGTAATAAGTAAATTTTAGCGGAAGACATGGAGTATTCTGCTAGTTGGTTACGAGCCGGCTGGACTTAGTTAGCCGCTTCACAGACAAGTGTAAAGGAGAGCACTTACCTTGTCCGAGTCGGTGGTGTTGCCGCTCCCGAATGACGCCAGAGAATTGCGATCGACGTTCTCGTCCAGATACGTGTCGTCGAGGTCCCTGGAATTGTGCAATCATGTACAACCACTTCTTGTAACTAACTCAATAACTGCCACGTTGTCACACTGAGACTGAGAAACACATAAACCTTTTCCCATTATGGGATCTATTATATTAACAAATCTTAGTATGTAGTTAATACTAATCAATATAACACATTTACATTTATTTTTTCTTAAAACTTATAAGTTTTGTAAAATTTATTATAGTTATTTCATGATATGTATGATTGATCTACATCTATTTTTAAAGCATCGATTATTTATTTCTGTTAAAAGGCAAAAGTAATTACAAGTCATAAGCACTGAAAGTAACAACATAGAAGGATACAGGTGGACCGACCTGCTGGAGCGTTGCGAGCTGGTGGTGCGGCCGCGCAATGGGCTGCGCGGTGGCGTCGGCCCCAGCGGGCCGCGGAAGTATGTCTCCTGCGACACATCACACACGTTAAGTAATTCTCACTCAACTTGACAATCTTACAAAGTGTCGTCGCATGCATCAAATGTACCTGAATAACTTCCCTCAAGCGGCGCACCCAGGTCTGCTTAACGTCGAGCGAGGGCGCCTTGAGCACGATGCGGCAGTCGCTGGCCATGGGCTCGCGGCCCGTCCACACAGAGAACTTGCACTCGTCGCCCTCGATGTGCTCCGTCACGCCCAGCTCCGATGTCTGCGGCCGAATGCACATTGTACACTGCCACAATACTCTCACCAAAATCTCTCACATTCGCGTCACCGTCAGCGCCAGCTACACGCAATCATATTTAAGCCGCGCCGCGCCGTATTGACCGCACAAAAGGTTCCTAAAGATTTTTTATTGAAATAGTCATGATTAAGACACACGCATATCCAATAAAGTTCTCGTTTCGCCCTTTAGTCCCACGAAGTAATCTTCTCGTCCACGTAAGTCCCACGTAAACATGGGAGTTATTTTTTTGGGACGGCATTTGTATGTATATATGTGAATTCCTTTGTGACAGCCTGGAGCCGAAACCTATTGCAGCAATTTTTACGAGGGATGTGTCATAAGATGTCTTCTTCTTCGGCAGAGTGACAAAAATAAATGATTGTATGCGTTTAGCGTGGCAGTGCGGCGCAGTTGTTATATGATTAATTAACATAATGAATAGTTAAGGGTATTAAGTATTTATTTAAATGATTGTGATCTGAGGCTTGTTAAGTATATAAATAAATAAAGTATGGAATTATTCTTCGGATCAACTTTTACTGTTCTATTTTGAATAAAATTAAAAAACAAATGTTACATTCGCTATTTGCGTTGGCAATCCGTTGACCTGATAGGATCAAAATATTTTATCGTGTAGTTTTATTTGGTAGTTAATTTTTGATACTCGCAAATACTGATTTGTTTTATTTAGTAAGCATACTTGTTTTCAGACAAAGGTAGGGATGAGCGGCGAGCGTTATGCTTTTCTTTACAGCAAAAGATAAAACATAAAGCAAATGCGTTGCAATTATATGGTTAATAATAATATTGTTATTATATGTGTAACGTTTATTGTGACAATAAAATATATATCAAAAAGATGCCGAAATATATAATATAATTGGCTTCATTTTGGATGTTTTTGTATATCTTTCCGCTCACTGGGTGCCATTTCCTTAAAATGGCATCAGAAAGCAATTGTATATTTGACTTAACGATTGCTATGTTTACTGACAATCATTTATTTATTATATCTTTTTGCAATGAGAACTTATATTTTTTTACAATTTAGGGGTTATTTTTTGTACAATCCAATGGTAGGGGAGGTAAGGAGCAGTGGTATTGTTAACGTTAAATAATCACAGAAGTGCATTGGCATACACAACACATTGATACAATATAAAAACCTCATTTCATTAAATTTGTTAGAATTCCTCAAAGGGCAAAGACGGTAACACAGGGCACTGTACATATACAAGGTAAAGTCGCGCCGCGCCGCGACAAATTTGCTACTCAGCTGAGAAAACTTTAAAAATACAAAGATGCAAAATCACTCACCATGAATTTAGTCTTGTAGATGTACTTGGCCTTCCCGTGCGAGTCCTTCACCTCCTTGGCGAGCAGGAGGTGCAGGTCGAAGAGGAAGACTCGTCGTTCTCGGCCTTTCTTGATGATCTGGCGCAGGTCCCACACGTGGAAGGAATCCTGCAGCACCACCTCGCCCAGGCTGTCGGTGGGCACGTCGCACCCTTCCAGCAGTGACAGGTGCATCGCGTCGTTCGCCTTCTTCGGCACCGACAGCATCACGTCCAGTCCGTCCTACAAGAAGCGTTGTTTCTTGTTACATGCTGCCGGGTGCCTCTGGCACACTCACCATCTCGTGTAAAGCAGTTACATACATGCAATGCCACATATTACAATTTATTGTTCGCGAAACAAGTCTTCGGATTTGAGTGTTTGCAAACGAAAACGTTTATACATTTTTAGCATTCCAATTTCCATGACGATTCCCCAAAGTTTCAGAGGAGATGGTGCGCACTAGTTTAGTAAATACCTATTAACTAAAAATGTATATGAACGTGTCACGACTGGACGGTAACACTGACGGCGACAACTTGTCCCAACCCTTTGTCTACAATTGTACGTTTGCATTTTATAGTTAGTTCTAAAAGTTGGATGAAGGTAATAACAACTACAGCGATGTTAGAGGAATATTCCGATAAGCAGTTTTGGTTAACAAATTTACCTCATTATTAATATCTTATTTTAATATCACATTTGTTTGCAACTGTCATGAAACCGTACGTGAAAATAATGTACATTTCAATGAACAAATATGTATAAAACTTGTGACGCCAATTTGCAGGAAAATCCCTTACAAGATAATGAAACTGCAAAATATTACTCATGTTGTACGTACATATTTCTGAGTATTTATTTATTAGTATGGAGTGTGTAATGCCTAAAACTACATATCAGTCGCGGTGGAGCCAAACTGTTGTTTCGATTATTTGCATATCAGACAAAGTATTGTCTGTAAGTTAAGTACAGTAGTACTTAATCATAGAATATGGAAAATTACACACTAGTTAAGACATTTTAGCGTGTTTTTTCGGCTACCGCACCGGTCCAGTTAGTCGCACTATAATTCGATTAAGCATATTTTAATTGAAGTTTACAAAACAACTGTAGCTAATTGAGGGGCTCGAAGGCATGATTTAGTTTTGCAATGAAGTATAAAACAGCACAATGATGTCATATGTTTACAGTTAATTAACATCGGTCTATTCCCATCTTTCCCGACAGGATGTAAACATGTTTACATTATATTTATACTATTACTGTTCAATTTGCTGTTTATTTAAATTCTATTTGTTTTCTGGTTTTCAACCGGGTTTCATTTAATTACTGTTGTAAAACTGCGTTACACAATGCCGTACAGGCGTACAAAGTAAATTACGTACATTTTGATGAATAGACAACTGCGATCCAAAGCGCGAGTTGATGAGAAACTTCAGCATGGTCACAAAGAGCAACGGCGATGTCACAATCACCATAACAAATGAAGCACATGACAAAAAGTAGTGGAATGTGGTGGGGCATGGAGCGTGCTATGCGGCGCGCGCTTCGGCCGGTGGCGGCACGGCACTGCGCGCCAACACTTCGCCGATGAGTCACGAGGAAAAATATTGGTGTAATGTAAACCGTCAGTTAATTACGGCGGACGGTGAACTAGTTTGGTTAATCTCAAACATATCCTGCTTATGTTAAAGTCGCGGTGCGGTGCGGTGCGGTGCTGTGCTGTGCGGTGCGATAGCGCGTAATGGCCTCGCGCACACAAACCCGTCGTCGTTAGTGCAGATAAGTCGCCTACCCCCACATTGAGGACATCTTACTTTTGCGGGAATCCATTTGTTAACAAGTTAACACTAATTAGGTCAATATTGATAGTGGCTTATTACTATACCATTAATATGAATATTTCTTGAGTTAATGAAGTATCGCAAGCTAAACAGTTAACAATACTATAACTATTACTGAGTACGTAAGCTGCTAGCTGATAGAAGACAGAAGAGGAAACTTTTACAAAAGACATGATAATTTACTATTTATTTGAAGAAGTTGATGAATGCAAGGCATGCGCTGCAATGTCATAAATAAAACAACAACCTGATTGACGCCCTTATCCCAGAGACCAAGAACTTTTATTTAGCGCGGTGGTGACAAGATCTTATCACAGCTCCATTTAAATTAAGGCCTAGCTAAATCGGCGTCAACAGCTGCATGGTATTGCACGCTGTATAAAATCTTCGGGAAAATTCGACCTGACTTAAATTTTGTTCTATACATGTTTTGTTTCACGTCTTCGTCGCGTAGTTTCCTTTGTCATACTACGACGTGGAAACTTATAGACAGAAAAAATTACCTCTTATAGGTTTGAATAAGACTTTACATTATTTTGTCAGAATTTAAGACAAATGATAATAATGAAAACTTATCCTGAATGTGGAGATCTATCAATGGAATTTAAGAAGCAGAACAACGTTCTTATATATCATACAAAACAATAACTAAAAACTTAAAAATTAATATCCAGTATCTTTATTATTATTTCTTTTATAGTTGTAAAATAACCGCCTTTTTATTCATTTCAATTGACAATAAGGTCCACAAGAATATATAGCACTCGAGTATTCATTCTTTGAAGTAAATTAATGAATTCAGTCTGATACCAAGTGGAAAAAAGATTTTATTGGCTTATTTAAAAATAAAAAGGTCAAGTGTTGACATCCCAAAGATGGAAGCGATTTGTTTCCCTGTGCGACGCCGTCAGTGTCAGTCAGTAAAGGTAAACAGAAACAGCTATGATTGTAACATGTCGCTAAGCCCTTAGGTAGACAAGGAATTTGTATTCTGCCAAAGAGGTGGCGTGGCATACTGCCCACCAACACCTATGTAGGTATAGTCGCGAATAGGGCTTAATGAATATATTGATGTATATAGTTAATGAGCATAAGTATGTAACAAGGAAACAAACGCAGTTCTACTGCCTGCCTCGTGACGTGGTGCTGTTGTCATTTTATAGTCAGTACAGGACGCGATCATAAACATATCTGTGTAGTGCCGAAACACATCGGCGCATCATCGAAACTAACATCAAAATTAAATAAATGCGCAATTGAGTGGTTTTCGTTAAGTAAAGGTAAACTTTAAAGTTAAACAAAAAGCTATTCTCTTTTATAATATTTATAAATGATCTTTGCAATGCAAAGTGCTCGACCACGAGTCGGGTCATACCTTGATTTCACCCTGGCCTTCGGCGCAGCAGGCCTGCAGGTCCTTTAGCAGCAGCTGGTACTTGGTGATCCTCTGCACGGGTTTGATAAGGTACGCAGCTAGCGGATGTTCTAACTTCCTCTTGCGCTGCACCCTGACGAGTAATACTTTGAATAAGGTGACTGTGACGGTGCACATGTAAGATATTGCCGACAGCGAGAGATACCTGTCGAAGTAGTCGCCGGCGTGCTGCACCACGGCCGCGTTGCTGTCGGGCTTATTGCGGCAGTAGGACACGTACATGTCGAACTCGCGCGCCCACGTCACGAAGCAGTGACCCACGTCCTCAGGCATTGTCGAGTATTTGTCCAGCTCGCGCAGGAACACGCGTTCGTGGAACCGGTGCAGCTCCTCGATGTTGCCGAAGATCACCTCCTCCTGCCACAAACGATCTATTACAGTACATGCTGCAACGCATGTCGTACCTCTACCGGGACACTCTCCTCGTTGCCTTTTACTCGTTAGTATCGCTCGAGCGGCAGCAATATAAAGTAAATATAACAAGAGCCCTGTTAAATTGTTAACTAGATGTGTAAGCATCATCTCGCGATTGGTGACATCGTATCGGTTCAAGAGAACGACCACGCACCTTCCCCTGCAGAGCGGGCGGCACGGAGGCGGGATCGGTGCGCATCTCGCGCAAGTAACATGTGATGCACGTTTCCAGATCCTTGACATAGGCCCGCTCAGTCTGCAGCAGCTCCGCCATTATGAACCTACAACACAACAAACAGATATGAATTAATTTCTATAAAGCACACTACGTCTGTCGGCCCCTTTGTATCAGCAAGATCATCTCTCTCTCTCTCTCTCTCTATCTAACTCGCCTCGATTAGGCGAGAGCTCGAGAAAAGTTCATAGACCGAGAAAAGATAGTAAATATGATTGTGTAGTTACTCCTTGCGTCGCGCGCTGCGGCGCTTCTCGTCGCCGGAGGGCGGCGCGGCGGCAGGCGTTGCCTCGGCGGTGCGCGATTCCTCCGAGTGAGCGGAGGCCGTGGACGGCGCCGTGCTCGTCTCGCTCTCCGCCTCGCTCTCTCCACCCTCCATGGATCCGCTGAACTCCGCATATCTGACGCACAGTAACATCAATATTAAAGGCGGCGGACACGAGGACGGTAGCGCTGCATCCCTCATAATGTGCTCCGTGGCGGCCGTTTACCTGGCGTCGACGGCGGCGACCCAATCCTTGATCTGCACGGCGTGCGGGTGGCCCTTCTCGACGAGCCCATCGGCAAGTTGGGCCAGCAAACGCACGCGTTCTCGGCTTTCGCGCGCCACCCCCGCCGCCGCAACTGCGGCCGCCGCGCCTGCAGCGCCGCACCGCTCCTGCGTCTCGCGGATCCACTCAACGGCCGCGCGCGCAGATCGCTCAAATAGCGCGAACTGCTGGCACTGCTCCAGTCGCTTTTTGCGCACCGTCCAGTGCTCCAGTACCTGCGCAAAACATATAGACACCCGACGCCTCATACACGTTTCTCCATTGCATTTTCATATGTTCACACTTAATATTAACGATATTTTTTGGTTGGTTAGACGGTCGTCATGCGTCTAAAAACATTAAAATCATTTAATTCAGTAGAATAATATTGAAAAAAAAGAATCCACACACCGTATCGGCTTACTGACAGCGTGATAGCAATAAGAGCTTTGAGGCGGCGGGTCGCGTGTTCACAGAGCGTGACGCCGCTGTGGCGACCCGCGCCCGCGATACCATCGCACCACAAAGGGCACACATTGTTTTAAATGTCTACATCCGCCGCCGTTCATAACTATAATATAGGATATTTCTGTGCGATCTATTATGATTTATTATATTACTGTTGTTCGGTTTGGTGCCAATTTAATTGCAATTTCATATAGAGTTATATGAATTAGTACAAAAGAACAATGGTTACATATGAAGTACGAGTGGTGGGTGTGGCGAGCGCACCTTGTTCTCCTGGGCGAGCAGGGTGTCGAGAATAGCGCGCGTCTGGTCATGGTGGTGCTTGCTGGCGGCGGCGGTCTGGCCGTGCACCTGGGCGGAGCGCGCCGCGTACTTGAGAAACGTCTCGGCGGTGCGGCGCGCCAGCGTGCACGCCTTCAGGAAAGCCTCCTTCTGCTCGCCGTGCTTCACGATCAGCGCCGTTACCTGTGGTCGATGTCACAAATGCCATTTCGGTCTTACTCACTCGACTACGATAATAACGATTTCACTTAATTCTACTCTTCTATTACCATATTGTTACATAATCGTAAATGAATGATATGTAATCACCTGTGCGGCCTTATCCAAGTTGTGCGCGGGCTGTTCATCGGCGGCGGCGGGCGGCGTGGCGGGCGGCACGAGGGGCGGCGGCTGGGGCGGCGCGAGAGGCGGAGCTAGCGGCGGGGGCGGGACAGCGGGCGCTAGGGGCGCGAGGGGCGCGGCGCCGGAGCCGCACCAGTCCTCGTCGCGGCGGTACTCACGCTCCAGTGAGTCCAGTACCGAGCACACTTGCTCCGCCGTCTTGTAGAAGTTGAGTGACGCCGTCACCAACTTGTGACGCTCCTCCGCGCACGTCACCAGCCGTTGCCAACGCTCCGTCACCTCCTCCGATATTTCCCTGCCGAAAGCGATTGTTATTATTATCGTGAGCTCAGCGACTAGATAATGCTACATAAGCGCGGCGACCGACCTGATGGTGTGGGGCTCGTAGTGGTTGGCAGCGCGCAGCGCGTCGGCGCGGTACTTGACCTGAACGGCGCTCGCGTGCGTCTTTTCAACGGCCACCTGGAACTGGTCGTGCTCGCGCTTCAGCTGTTCCGCTTCCGCCAACGTGCCCGGGATGGAGAAAGACGCCGCTAGCATCGCCTCGCCGTTGCGGATCCAGCTCACCACCTGAGCAGCGTCCTTCCGGAACTGACCTGGAATCGGCATTCACTCCTTAACATATTTTTTTACTTTGTCGCAAATGGAAAAAAGAAAATAAGTCAACTGAAACGTTGGAAGCACGACTGTGATCCGATGGTGACATAGATATAGATGTGCAAAGATGTGGTCGTACCGAGCTGGACGCACTGCTCGAAACGCGCGCGGCGCTCCTCTGCCAGCTCCTCGAGGTCGAGCTGGCGGTCGTGCAGGAAGTCGAGTAAAAGTTGCACGCGCGCCTGCGCGTCCGGCGGCGCAGCGTCGCCCTCGCCGCCCGCCGCACCGCCCGCTGCGCCTCCCGCCGCACCCCCCGACATCGCCTCCGCCGCCTCAGCGATGGCCGCCGCCAGTTCCTGACCTTGCTGCACCACCTACCACGGAAACAGCCACGCTTGAGTCCGCTAACAAAACGTCCCAGTGACTCTCCCATGGAATGTTGCGACGTACTTGATAAGTGGCGTGCTGCATACGCGCGACGCTTTCGTTGTGCGCGGCAAGCGCCTGCTCCGCTTGGTGCGGCTCGCGAGGCGGCTCCGTGCGCTGCAGCTCGTCGCCCCACAGCTCCAGACGCGACGACACCTGCGCACGCATAACACTATATTGATGGTATATTAATACGTATATATGTCTCTCGCCCGACTACAATCTTAAGTCATCCGTTATCTTACCCTGCCCTTTACTTTGGCTTAAAGTTAAGAAATTATATCGACACGTAGTTCTTATCGGTGGACACGAAATGCTTTGAATATGTATGTAGCGAATACTTGGTAAACAAATACGTCGGTTTATATTTAAACCTGCAGATAGTGAGAAGAAGTAATGAAATCAGAGAAGATATGTAATGCCTTTTGTATTATAAACAAGGCGACCGATATACCTCTAATGTCGTTTACTTAAAGAATGTTTTTAAATATTAACTTAATATCAATATAAATTTATTAAAAAAAAAACCATTGGTTCTTTTACCCTAAAATATTTGTTGTAATAAAATCCTCTTAGATTAGTGTAATGTATACTACATTGTATGCATTATGCATGGACACAAGCGTCTCTACACGCTTCATCGAGGGCGAGCGATTCCAGCGAGTGCGGCAACTTGTTATCGTTGTTGGTCGCGCCACCGGCTGGCATGCGTCACGAACCGCGCTGCTCAGAATGCTATTGTGACCATTTTTCATTAAAAATATCCACTCCACCGTCAAAAAAGGTAAGGATCGGAACGGAAACAAAATATGTCGATACTAGTTTTGTGTAGTCGTTAAACTTGTCTTTAGTTAGCTAATCAAATACAGGTACGGTGATAGATACAATCGTCAGTGGGTCAGTTTCGATTTCCGATGCCGCCGATACATACACGGAATGGTCATTACAATTTCCTTCTAGCGAACTGTAAGCTAACATCGCTAGCAGGGAACCTATGTTGGTGTAATTATTTGTGGTCGTCCAATGATTCAAATTCGACCATAATTCATAGGAAGTAAAGGAATTTTTTATTAATTAAACATAGCTTCAGGTAAGTACATTCAATGCACATAAACTACAACTTTGTCAAATTTAACGGTCATCAGTTTTCGCAACACGTAATAACGTTTTAACGGTGGTAGAGCCCGCTTTAACATCTTTGCACGCATTGTCCCGGCTCGCCCTATGAAATACCACGACCACACAGAAGACAGGCGTGAAGTGGAAGCAATTCCAACTACAGTCTGATGAGTGTGCGTCCCGGAGGCCTAATTCTAATCCCCTTTTCCTTCTCACCCTTTTTCTTATAAGGAAAGGATGGGAAGTGGAAGTGGACTTTCCGGAATAGGGTTTGCATGGGAAGGCAAAAATATTTTCTTTCAGTGCATCTCCTCCTCCGTGGATTAAAGATAGGCAAAGCATATCCAATTGCGTATGTCTATGGGCAACCTTTTGATATATATAACGATACTAACCTCGAGTGCATCGCGCTCGAAATGTCGCAGCTGCAGCGTGAGCTCGAGGCGGCGCTCGCGATCCGCCCAAAGGTCCTCGAGCGCGCCCCGCGTGCCGCGCAGCCGCTCCAACGCGCTCTCCACGGCGCCCGTGCTCGCCGCGTCCGAGTCGCCCGACGACCTGCAACCATCGCCATACGCTTTGCCGCATTCCCACCGTGTCGCATCACCTCCCAATATCAACGCGAAGCTAAACAATCACTTAACAGACCTGCCTCGCGTAAAGCTCTGCATCTCTCTGGATATTCTGTTGTTATGTCCAATATACTCAGTAAGTTATTCATATATTAATTATTTATAGTTCCATTTTACATTATTACAGGACCGATTTTAGGTCTGTTTTTTATCAAATGTAGAAGTTCCTTTTGAATTTGTTATATGCTTAAGTAAAATCTGTTAACTAACAGAGTTGGTGTCAGATCATTCCACAAGTTCCAATATAACGCGTGAAATGAGACGAGAAGGCGACTCTAAGAGGGAAGCTATTGTACCCGTCAAGGATTATCATCAGAACTTCTATGACTGATTGATGTTCATAACTTTCTATAAATTTGACTGCAAATTTGCTTACACAATTTGATTATATTTAAACTACAATTGTGTAAATGTAAATAAATATGCGTGTAAGTGTAACAATGTTGTTTTACTGCTAATTCGCACAAATACATATTCATACCTCCATCTCAGACACTGGACAGGAGACTTGTGCCTGTGCGAGCGCCGGTGATATTTGAGCATTTTGTAACAAAATGATCATTTCACCACACTCATTCGCACCAAGTTCGCATTGGCTTCGATACAATCATCTATCCACCCGCACACTTATCTGTACGATTCAGTAGGTGATTTAATGTCGACACTGAGATACTCTCGAATATTATGCATGAAATATAACCCTGCTGTACCTACACAATGACACCTGTACGTAACATCAAACTCTACGGAACTTCACGGTGTGTGTTAAAAATTAAGTGTTTGGTAAATCGACTAGTGTGCGTATTACGCGATGGCTGACTACCGCTACTGTTATGTTACGGTTACATGTGCACTGCACCGCGCCGCGCCGCGCCGCGCCGACCACGCGGACGCGAACGGCTCGCCTCCCTATTTGTTTACTTCGTCATCTTGACAAACTTTTTATAAAATCAAGTAAAGATATTATTATCGACTTCCTTAGATATAAAACGATAACAAACGTCGAACACATATCCGTTTAGAATGTAACGTTCTAACAGTTTCGCCAATTACTATTATTATTTTGAGTTAACGTTAACCGAAAAAACTGTACGTAAGTAGGTACTGTTAGGAAGAAAATACGACACTGTGCCGGTGTATCGGTGCAACACTAGCCTTATTAAAATATCAACGTTTATGCCCCCTCACTAATCAATCTGTCACTTGACTTGGTACGACAGCGCGTCATTCGCGCCATAGGATTCTAACTAATAATGTCAAAGTACCTATAACGAAACAAATATTTTAAATAAATGCACAAAGTGAGCCGTTGTTTTTATCTACTCTGTTTTAGCGCGACTGCTTTCCAAAAAAGCATTAAACAAGAAATAAACTGATTTGGGGATAAGATACGTTACACTCTGGCAGATTCGACTGGTGCTTAAGAATCTCACAGACACTTGAATGCGCTTTGAAATACTGGCGTCAGGTTAACGCAATGCAACATCCCGTCATTGTTAAAACAATACTATGACAGAGTTTGGAGGCGGCCTGAAACGTTAGTCAACATTTAGAATTTCTTTTCGTAGTGTAAAGACCCGTTCTGATGATACCAATTTCTTGTATAAAACAGAGCGATAATTGAATACAATAATTTGTCCTGTCCGCCTAATTTACTTTCTTTATTTGCAAGCACTCATTTTTAATTATTTGAGATGAGTGCGAGTCATTAGAACATAAATGCAACTTGTATGTTAGGTTAGGTTGGCAGAACATTAGAAAAGTAACGGCCAAGTGTGAGCTATGATTGCTATCAGCGCGCGCACAGGATACTCGTTATTGGATGATTGGCTCGCGGGGCTACGCTCGCACTGACTGCCTACAGGACTCCGAGCCCAAAAGCCATCGTGCACTGTCAACAATATCACACGGTTTGAAGCCTTCCTTTGAAGAGACTCAAGAGACAATTTAAAATTAGTTGTAAAATCATCAATGACGTCACCGAAGTAATACACAAATAAATTGACGTGTAATGACGCTATACAAACTTTAAGGGAGTATCGCGTCATCGGTCGTCGTCTCGTTAACCCTATGTCACTTCGAGGCAGATTATTATTATCAAAATTGGTTCATCAGTCATTTACGCTACAGGAGGTGACAATACAATTGAACAACATATAGATAAAAACTATATACTACTTACATGCGACAAAACTTTACTGTTAAATGAAAGCCTTTAAAAAAATGTACGACCATAAGATCTTTTAATTTATAGAAATTTGGATGATCTTAACAATAATGGTCAGAAGCTCACAAGCTACGTAGAATAATCTTCCGCCCACTGAGCACACAGCGCGATGCCCAGAGAGCAGTGTCGCCGCCCCACATTGGCCGGGTCACATATGCCCCGACAAGTGCTTGGCTTCATTCACAGACATGACAGGGAGGGCCTATGTTCGACTATAAAAAAATCATAGCTGGTAATTCATACAATTCTATCTGCATGGCGAAGTTAAAAGTTGAGTAAAACAATTTTTAAAGGGGTCCGTATTTAAAGTGCAGGAATCTGAATACAGTTAAAAGCACTCGTAGCGATGTACGGCTCTCCTTTATTATTTACACGACGAAGTAAACATTGAAAGTAGATTTTGTTAGTTGCGAATAATTTCAAAACCTATAATGGCTTTCCATAGCAGTCTAGACGGGAAATCCGTACCTACAGAGTTTTGTATATATCTTAGTTTGATGATGAGTTGCGCCTACAAATATAAGTACGTATACTACGTTTTCCATATTAAATAAGACTTCTACAGCAAAATGAATGCAACAAATTCATTGTAGGAAGAAAATTATATTTAATCCGCGACTTCGTCCGCGGGAATTTTAAAAACCTAAACAAAAATTAAACTCCGCCACTTTACAGGATAAATTTCACAAGCACGTGGTTAATTTCATGTTCTGGAAAATATACAATTTTCAAATAACTTTGCTAAAGGATAAATGTATTATCATACACACTTTCCATTTCCACTTTACACATTTAGATGAATAACCTAAAAACCTTACCAATCCCCTACGTAGTAAGAGAAAACTATATGGAAATTTCAAGTCTTTAGTAGTACTTCGAGTACATGATGTTGCTGAAGTTTGTCATAGGTATAGTTGACAAGTCTGGAATTTGTATTTTTGTATATTTCAGTTGGCGAAGCCCGGCAAGTATAAAAAAACTCATCAAAGATGATCACTAAGTTAAAAGCTCCAAGCAGGGAATGTCGCAAATTGCAAAAACTTAAGTGCGTCGGAACACTAAAACAATGTTACTCTGAATATTTACTTAGCTGCTATTAGCGTAAAGTGCAGATACAGACTTAGTATAAATGTTTTAAATAAAATTTAATTTATCAGCTTTTTTGTTAAATTGGGTTACAAACAAGAAAGACAATGTATAGATATGAAACTAAAAGCGTGTCTGTTTGTTGTGAGGGCGCATTGACTGCATCGAAAGCGAGTGGATCGTTAATGTGAAGAAGAACGCATAGCATCGTGATGCGGCTTCACCAGAGCAAACATTAGCACATCGCAACTTCAGGCTCGGCGGGCGCACTCGGCGCGCCGGCTCGCCAGTGGCGCGGGAACGCGGGCGTGCCTTCCCTTCCCCATCAATTTTTTCAATTATACATAAATGGCGCGACAAAACAGATAGCTGACATATATGTCATCCATTAAATATCGCTATCGCCAAGCAAGTGCTTTATAACACCACCGTTCGCTTGTAGATTCTTTAATGCGGCTTTAGGAAGACATCAGAAAACAGCAACGTTGGTGACTTATAGGGCCCCTGGAGCAAAGGCGCCATGAAAAATCTATGGCCTACAATTACTGGACTTTGCTACTAGTGTAAATATGTCTAAACACAAATTTTAAGATTAGCTGCCTGAAGGCTGTGTCTATTTTTATTTCACTAAAACAATTGCAACACATAAGTGTTGATGAATAGAAACGCGGGCATATAGCCGCTGTCTGTTTGCTGTGGGAGGGATGCCCGGGGTGGTTGTTGGGGTGGTTGGGGATAAGGATAGCAAAGTATGAAACCTTTGTGCACGCACCGCGCGGCGTAATCACCAACAACGAATCTTTTGTAAAATAAAAAGGACTGCGCTGTTATTTGAAAACACTTTCATTTTCTTATTTTCCTTGTCCGTGAAATCTCTACAAAATTTACAAAAACTGCATGTTACGATAAATAAAAGAGCAGTTTATTAAATATAGAAGCAAATTTATATTTTTCTGTTAAGCTTTCAAGTTTTTAAAAACTTAACACACGCTTCGCTTTATACAGCAATCTGCGAAAGAAGTATGAAACCGGAGCACGCCACACTCGAGCTCGTAGAAGGAACAATTACAATATCAAATTATATGTCCTCAATTCCTAATGCACCGATTCAATTGAAAGAATGACAATTCTTATAATGCTTACGTGGTAAAACAAATATGTAAATATTTGGCGTCTAAAAAATTTACATATAAATAAAAGTACGTCATATGTAATGCAACTAAAAAAATGCATTAAAGATAATGCATGTTTCGTAATGCAATTGTCTTCAGCTCAAGCTCTGGCGCGAGATGACGAAGCAAAGAGAACTGCGGCTAGTTGACAAGCACGAGGCTCGCGGCTGCGACCGCTTATTTTCCGATACGTATTCCGGTAACATCACACACTGACAGATAATGCGGGGCCTTTCTCTAGTAAGCGCGTGCTATCATTCCCAGCGAGAAATGCGTTCCGTGACGATGGATAAACAAGATTCAACGCGAATACGCCTCACCCCTCCCCACCGCAATACTGATGCAATTAACTCAGTAGGGTAGTAAAACCTAAATAAATTGTACAATTTAAGAAAACATTTGACTTTCATTAAAGGCAACTCTATTTAACAAGTGCGTCATCTAAACTAATATTATAATAACATATAAGAATGATTTTATTGTTTGTTTGCATTGAATAGGATCCGAAACTATAATACTAAACCGTTTTATGGGTGACATATGTTATATATGTATTTCTTTTTTCATATGTTGCCAGAAATAGTGCGAGTTTTGTTTTTTCTTTTGAGCGCGGAGGTCAAGAGCGGTCCTTTGCCAAAGTAGACTTCTCTACATTTCAGCAAAGCCTACGCCTTACCTCGTGGACTAGATTTTTTCGGTAAAATGTTTCATAGGATAAAAAATCTCTTACATTAATGTTTATGACGCCGATGTTTAGAATACAGCAGCACAGATAGTTCAACCGCTCGGTCCCAAATAGAAAGGGGCTTTGGCTCGTTATCTCGCCATATGTCCAACAGAGTCGGCGAACACAGTGCCTCCATTTATCACCAATGTTTTGAGGAACGACGAATGCTCGTTCGCCGAGACGACAGAGAATAATCACAGCATCAATTTATATATAAAATGGAACATTGCAAATAGCAATTGACCATATAGCAGGAACTACAAATGGTAGCAAATTATCCGGACGGTCGTTAGCCTCGGCATCGAGAGTGCCCGTGTCTGAAGCAGAAGGGTACTCCGGCGGAATAGACCCGGCGAGGACTCTTCATATAACAAACCTGGGGTTATTTGCATACGCCTGGGAGTAGTCATTAACGCCATCCAGTGGCAGATATCACGTGTCAACTTAAGTTCGATCAGAAAAGTAATTCTCAGATACGTACAAAATATTTGAAATAAAAAGCAACCGGAAAACACGTATGGGAAATTTAATTAAATATGTGTTGAATTAATCGAGGCTTGCGAGATAAAGGTATACAATAAAAACGTGAGCCTTTTCATTTATGTAGTTGTGCGATCGAGGTGCATACAGATGGAAAATCGAAGATAGCTGCGTTGATATTGTTCCCACGCATCGCACCCCAAAGCCTTTCCAGAGTATAAGGTACCAATTGGGACAACTGTAAACATTTGTCGAAGGGATATTTGTGGATATGATGAGGATAATAAAAATCAGAAAGAGAGCTCCCCAGACGTAAGAGCGCACCGGAAGCAGCGATTGTGACACAATTTAAATCACTCGGCGCGATCATCAGCTATTGTAGCCGACTTCCCGAGAACTGTAGCCAGCCACAGAAAGCGTAAGTAAAGATGTAAGTATATATAGCTGTCACTTTTGTGTGTTATGTACATTTTACCAGCCATACTAGGGTGTTGAATTTACGAAAACATCGACGATTTGTAAATGCTTTACAAGCAGGCAAAGACTCATTACTTCAGCAACTTTCTGAACTTGCAATCCGAGAAACGATAATCACGACTTACTTCTATCTACCAGTAACTAGTAATGCTCGTTAAGGGCTTATACACAAACAACGAGGTTTGGCCAAGGTATGTTGCGTTGCGCACACGTCGCCGCTCGTCAGGCACTGTCAGCCCGGCGGCGGCGGCGGCGGCGGCGGAGGCGGTGGCGTCGGCGGCGGTGGCGGCGACGCGACCACTGCCCATAACCGTAACGCGATACACCATCAATGCCATTCATGTTCATAATACGTATATAATACGAACATACATAACGTAATAAGTAAACAAAATATAATATAGCGCGACAAAAGTTGCAGTGGTTGTTTTAAAACATTATATTATCATTAATCAAACAATTTTTAATATATATTATATTATATATAAAACCAAAAATGTATTAACATAGTTAATACGTCGTCCATGTGATGTACTCGCGGCTCATGAACATTACTCTTATTTTAGTTTACATGTTTATATTAAAATGTTAAAGAACTGAAGGCGGATCATAACGTGGGAACGTAATTATTAATTTAATGTTATTTTTTATATAATTGTTTTGGAGTAAAAGAACTTGAGAGAGACTGGAGAAACGGAATGTTCTGAGGTCTGTACGATGGTTAGATCGCCTCCGCCCTCGGGTTGCCCTTCGAAGGCAACTTCACCATACCCGGTATTTTAGTGGGGCCCTTCTCTACCCGCTAGCTGGCAGCCGGCAAGGTCATGTGCAGTTTGTAAACAAAACATTATATCAACTACATCTCGATTGTTTGTTCTCCTTTAATGTTATTATTATTATCATTTTATTCATTCACACAAAATTTGATTTTAAAACGTCTGAATCACTAATAAAATAATTTTTAAATTAGTTAACTTCCCCTTTATTTTTTTTTCTTAATTAAATCGAAACCAGAACGAAATCACCATCGACATTATTCACCTATGAATGTAAGTATTTTTTATAATGTAAAACAAATCTTATTTAAATAGTATACAACACTAGTACTACGATACGTTTGGAATTTCGATAGAAGACTATGTCGCGTGGTGGATGCACGTCGCGACGCGGCGGTGGTCGAGCGCGGACTGGCGCCGGAGAAAACTCAGCTTGCATTGCCAATGCATTCCTACACCATACCGCTAGCCCCGCTCCGCTGTTCACGCTAGCCTGGCCGATCACTACAATCCACTGTCTCCTTAACTATTTGATTGTTAACTTCTCGTTAACATTTTATTATTATATGCATTGAAGAAAAATCCCATAAGCTATTAACGCTAAATTTAAATTAACTTTTAGAACTTGCATAGAACAATACATGTAACAGCAAAGTTTTCAATGCAAGTTAATTCTAATATAACATTTAAATCCGTAAAAACAGTTGAATGGATAAATTATTTTATAAGAATATTGATATTTCTTTTGTCAATAACAATAGACAGAGTAAGGTGGAGCGAGGAGTCACTTTATTGAGTCCATTTCAGAGGCGAGTTTTACATTGAACATGTTTATAAATATGGCCGGTAAAGAATTCCAAGCCGATGCTTGCAATTCGGTAGTTGGGAAGTGCACACAATATCTCCATTTAAATGGACAAGTTTTAATAGTTTTTATGTATAACTGTATTGTGTTAAACATTTTCTTATTCTTAAATTAGAGCTTTATAGAACCGTAAAATATGAAATAAAGTTATTGAATAGCATAAGCATAAGCTCGCTACAACGATGGAACGTGGAATTATTTCCAATTAGGGCCGTTGAATGATCTCTATTGAATAATAGTGCAAAAAAAATGTGAATTGCTCTTGAATTGAGATGAGTAGGAGAGCTCAGGGAAGGGGAGGCCTTTGTGCTTGCCCCAGTCGCTGCTAAAACAAACTACGCACTGTATTGTGGCTAATTTATTTGAAAGCAACATTCGTACTGAACTGAATTCGGTACGTTACATTATTATACAGAAATTACTAGATATTAATTAATTACTAAGATATCACATACAGAAAAACATCGCTTCTATATTAGAACGAGTTTTTTTCGTCTTATTTGTAAAAACATTAGTTATTACACTAGGCAACATAAAATTCGAAGTTGGTTGAATATTTCAATATTTATGGACCTTACAAAGGTGCCATAGACAGGTTGTTAATTTAGATGTTGCAGATATTAGGTATGTCGGATTTCTTCATTTATATCTACGTCTATTAAGAAATAGCCGAGGTCTGTCCGAGTGTGTGGCGGAGGGCAATTTGCCTGTAGTTAAACTATTGACTTAACATGCATCGGGTGCGGATGCGGATCGTGTCGACAAGTCGCCCTCTCTATTGGGCGATACTTCAATATCACAGCAAGCGTCTGAATGATTTGATTCGTGTGTTCCGTGTTGTTTGTTAGTCAGTAACGCAGATAGTTTCTGTTGTTGTTTCACTTCAATATGTAAACAAAGTCGTATTCAATTGCTAATGGAACTAATCACATATATATCACTAAGAAACATCGTTCATTATTCACTAAATTGTTAACATTTAATGCTAGCCAACAAGATCGCAATGTGCTTCCACTTTATCGGATGCATGTTTATACTTCCTTACACATACTCCCCGATTCGACGTCGTATTTAAATTAGTCACAAAACATATTGTTTGATACATGTCTACTTAAAAAAGATGTATTCCAATTTCGGTAGGATTAATTGTCGAGGTTCCGATAGTGATTAAAAATATATTAAAGTATGGAAGCGCGCAAGGTCCCGTTCCCGGCAGAACGGTTGGCGAGGGCTTCGGCCTCGACTCTATTGTCTACAAAAGAATGACGACGAACTTTTAAACGTTCAGCATTTATATCGATTAGTCATCGGCACCGAACAATCATTGTTTAAGGACAAATCGAAAAAAGACACGACCTTTGTACAATAAACGATAGTGCTTACGAGTATCGTTTGTTTTTATAATACTGGCAGTAATCACATGTCGTCGTGTGGTGCGGTGCCGGTACTGCGACTGCGACCGGCGACGTATCACCCACCTGAGGTCCTGCAGCAGCGTCTCGCCCTGCGCGATGGTGGCGGCGCAGGCGTCGAGACTGGCGGCGCGGTGCTGCGCGCACTGCTCCAGCGCGCGCCGCGCCGCCTCGGGACTCTCGTCGCCCGCGCCCGCGCCGCCCCCGCCCCCGCGCAGCGTCTCCAGCCATTGCACCAGCTGCACACGTCTCTACTTAGTACCGCCGCATATCGCGTGCAACAAGAACGGCCCACTCGCCCGCCCGCCGCCCGCCGCCCGCCGCGCACTACAACTTGGGCGACGGGCGACGGGCGACGGGCGGCGAGCGAGAGGCGGGATAAGGCGAATAGCACCGGCCTCTTTCTCGTGGGTGTAGAGCAGCACGGCGAGGTCGAGGCGGCGGCGGCGGCGGTCGACGCGCGCCGCGAAAGCTGCCACGTGCGCCTCCAGTTCGCGCGCCACGCCCAGCACCTCTTCCGGCTCGCACTCGCCCGACCGCGCCAGCTCCTCTGCCGCCGACAGCAGTTTCTCCGCGTTCGTGTACGTGTTCTGCGACAGACACACGCAGCTTCGATTCACATAGACCGTGCGTTGTCGAGCCGCAGCTCGGCATCGAATAGTCGACAGATGGATAATGTGTCTAATTTTTAATGTGCCGTGATAAGTTGCAATAAGCACACAGTTGAACGCACCTGCGCGACGTTTTCGAAATGTTCGTGAGATTTTTGGTACACTCTAGCCTTGTGAAGATTTCGTCCTATTCCGGTGTTCTTCTGCAGGAACTGGAGGCCATGGTTGGACAGCCAATCCAGCACCTGGAAACAGTCCGGCGTCATCGCACTGGGAACGAGCGGGTAGGTGTGATCGGTCGAGGTGGCCGGCGCGCACCTGGCGGCAGTCCTCCTTGTACAACAGAAGGGCGAGGCGCCGGTGCAGCTTGAGACGCGCCTGGTGGTAGCGCGCCTCCAGGGCACGATGGTGCCCGAGGATCTGGTGGATGACGGCTAACACGTGGTTGGCGCCCGAGCTATAGTCGGCGGCGGGATCACCTCCGGCGCCGCCGCCCGTCCCGCCCGTGCCTCCGCCGCCGCCGCCGCCGCAGTCCTCGCTCTGTTGTACACGTTCATTATTACAGTCGGTTTTCATCTATTTTATAAAGGAAATCTGTGTTCCCTTTGATCACATAAATATGAGATTACGATAGCTTATTGACGTCGACATACCATATCGGCAGAGTCGGTCTGATGACACACTTGAACGAGATGGTCAAGTTGGTACAGAAGTTTCTTGCTGGTCGAGTGAACCTGGCGGAGGATAATACATAATATTGGGATATTAGGATTTAAATTTAAAAAGTAGCACAATATAAACGACGCGGGAGTGAAAATGCAACGGGATAGGGATCCCCCTGGTAGCGCGGCGCTCACCTCGGTGTAGGCCTGGCACATGTGCTCGTAGAGCTGGCGGTGGCGCTGCGCGTGCTGCTCGAGGGCCCGCGGGTCGGTGCACGGCGCGCCGCCCTGCCCGCCGGGCGCACCCGTCCCTCCTGGTGCCGGCCCGCCCGAGGCCAGCTGCAGCGCCAGCGCGCACTGCGCTCCCCACCCGCCCACCGCCGCCGCGTACGCCTCCGCCTTGTGGTGAAACACCACCGACAGCGACAGCACTGCCGAGCGCTCCTCGAGACCTGGCCACGATGACGCTTTCAAATTTTACGATTCCTCTGCGTTTTAAGCTTGTTCAACTTCAGGGAATCGAAATCCTTCGCAATATCGCCGAAAGCGAAAAACATTTCGAAGGTAGAACAAGTCGAAGTAGGAGGTGGAGATGCTACCGACCTGCGGCAAGGTGCTTGTAGGCACGCTCGAGGCGCAGCGCGAGGGCGGAGATCTGCGCCTCCGCATAGTGGCGCTTGTCGGCGAGCCGGCGCGCCGCAGTCGCCACGCGCGCAACGCTCGGCCGCCCGCCGCCAGTGCACGCCGCCGCGAACCTGCACAGTGCACACGCAATACGTCACCGGCATGCCCGGCCCGGGTCCTCACCTGACCACCACACCGGCTTCGTGACCCACCTAGCGTGCTCCTCCTGCAGCCGCTTGGCCGCGGCGCACGAGCGACCGATCTCGACGTACGTCGCCAGAAATGCCGTTCGATGGTTGACGATCCATTCTAGCATCTGGAAAGGATAAATTCAATTTACGTGTCCGATTTAAATGTTATACTTCTAAAACCGACACCGAAACGCACGCGGCTTCGACATGGTTACAAAACACAACGACCGACGATCGCGGACCGATCGAGGAAATTATAAATACTCGAGTCCACGGGACCCAGTCGATCAAATAAGAAAAGCGGGAGGACCTTTTCGCAGTCCTGCTCGAAGAGTCTGAGCTGGAAGCACTGGTCGAGCTGCATCTTCTTGTGCTGCCAGAGCTTGTGGGCGTGCGCGTGTGCCGACCGCACGGCGGCGAGCTGCGCACGGACGGCGCCGGGTGAGCCGCAGTGGAAGGCGGCCTCGCCACTCGCCTCCGCGCACGCCGCCGCCTGCGCCTGCGCCGCCTCCAGTCGCTGCAGCACCCGCGACCCTGCCCCCGCCCACAAACATGGCATGCGGTCAATCCGTCTCTCCACTCCGATCTGACAAACCTTCGCACGGAACTTTACTTCCGTTTTGGCATATGATATACAATACTTTTGAATTTAATAATAATCATGTAACGTCGCGTTTCAATTATTCACGACATTTACCGAAAACATCACCGCTAAATAATAATAATAGAACATAAGAAAATCACAAACCACTAAGGTGTAAAAAAAAAGTAATATATTAATAGAAAAACACCTCATTCATCAAACAGCCTAAGATATGAAACGAGCAAAGGAGGTAGAACATCGAAATGCACATTGTACAACAATAGGAAGCAAAGATGTAACGATACCGTGTCGATTGCGACATCGGCAGCAGTGGAAGCACATGTGGCCGGGCGCGCGCCGCCGCGCACTGCAACACGTCGTTGTACAACACCGAGCTCATTACTGCTGGTACTAATGGCGCGCTCTCAAATCATTCGGCCGCGAAACATTCCGTTCCATTGGTGGTGGCGCGCGCCCGTCCATCTATCGATTTCCATTTTCTTCCTACAAGGTTGAAAGAATCGCGTAATTTTCAAACGCGCTTCCGGCGAGAAAACCGACGATTACCAATATTATCATGTCATTTATTATTTGGTACACCGATTCAATAATATATTTAACGAGCGAAGCGAAATTTAAAAAAAAAACATCCACGAGGTTATATCCAATGTACAAAAAGCAAAACTACCAGCTTCCTCGAATCCGATACTCGATATTTCTTATATTACTTTCAGTACTTTATTTACTACTTAATGTAACGCGGCGGCAACACACGAAACAGGCGGAGGTGTACCTTGCGCCTCGAGCTCGTCGACGGGCACTTTGGCGAGGCGTTTTCCGATATCGGCGTGCGCGTCGATGGCGCGTCGCGCACCCGTCACGTCGTCGGCGAAGTCCGCGCGCGCCACGTCCTCCTGCAGGTCGTCCAGCCGGTCAAGCAGCTCGCCCGCCTGCCACAGCAGCTCCTCCAGCGCCTGCAACCGACCACGTCGCGTCACGCCACAACCGTACACAATGCTTCATTGCTCAATGCTTATACAGTTCCACTCACCAGTCTCAAGTCGATCCACTGCGGGTGGTCATAATGTAATGTACCATCAAGGTCCGATGTCAATTGTGTGCTATCTATTACCTTAGGCAGAGCTTCGGAGCTTATCATGGTTGTCTGAAATAATAACATTATACATTAATTAAATTTTAACTGTGGGTTGGCCCCATCATTAATAATTTAATTATTAATTCCCTTACCTCAAACTTGTATTTATGTGAGCCAATAGTCGTTCGTTGTTTTTGCCAAAAATTGTCAGGTTTAACTACAAGTGCCTGATGGACGGACGAAGAAAAATGTTCTTGCAGAACTTTCAAAATAGGTTTAATAGCGGCCCATGCTGAACCTCTCATGTCTATCAAGATCGTAAAGCCATGCGTTCTCACCGAGTCACTGAAACAAACAAACAAATAACAAAAATTGGGCAACATGAAACTATATATCAGCTTGTAAGTTATTATTAAAAAGACTGCCCCTGCCCCGCCCTTCATCTTTTCAATTAATGGAATCTAACATGGAACCAGGTTTCCCAAAAATAATCAAATTGATAACCTCTAACCCTAAAAAAAATGAATTAAATTTAACTTATATAAAGATTTGAAAAAATTAAAGAAGTAATAAACTGATATACTAGTTAAGTAAATTTAAATTTACAGCCCTCAATTTTAACAATTTAGTTTTTTTAACAAATTGATTCACTTTGAAATAACTTTTACTTTCTTGTGTGCACATAATCCCTTATATACAAATGTTCCTTATTACAAAACATTATTCATCAGTGCCATACAGTTTCCTATTCTACTTACCACTTCCCTTTCAATTGTTGAAAGTCCACTTCCCTACCACGACAACAAACAAAGACATCTTTTGAAACATCTTGAATAGAACATTTGGAGGACATTGGCCAATCACACTACTGCAACAATATAAATACTTTAAACCTCCCTCACCTGGGTATGCTCATAAGGTAGTGAAGCAAACGTCTATAGTCATCTGGAGCTACCCTGTCCCGCCTGGAGTTTGCGGGGAACCATATGATGGGCCCGCCCCTGCGATCTAGGCCGCCGGTGAGGGCCGCAACCCGCTCCTGCAGCAGGGGCAGCACATCCAGGGCCCGGGCGCCCGCCTCCATTGCGCGCCCCCCACTCGCTGCCTAGACAAGCCTGTGACCAAAGCCTGAAGTTATTATCATGCAAAATGCATACTAATAGTCATCTTGTAATGCCTAAAAATGAACATTCAAATGTTTAACCAATGTCACAGATCTTATTTAATTGACAATCATCATCATATATCATACAATCATTATTAAACCATTCCATTCTAGTTCTAGTTATAATCAGAAGTAAAAATCATATTTGATAAAATACTTGCAAAAATACTTTCAAAAAAATAATAACTTTACATTATGAAATAATTGTGTGAAAAAGAATGTATGAAAGGAATTAAAAACTGTACATAGACAGGGCCAGGAATACTGCGAGTTGACTGTAATTTGATGTTGTAGAATACTAATATGATTATTTAACAATATTGCCTGTGCATACTACTGGGTGTGGCTCCCAACTCTATCAGTTAAAAAAAAACAATAAATAGCCTATGCAAATTATTCAAACTTTCGTGAGACATTATAATAAACTGATATATAAACACGGCTAAACACTCACGTATATTCGTCCGGTGGCGGCACCAACTAGTTTCGAGCCCATCGGGGGCCCTTCATCAGGATGAGTGGTACTGGTATTATTTCACGGACGACGGCGGTATTATTACAGTGAGCGACGGGCCGCGTCCACAAAATAATACCAGTACCACTCATCCTGATGAAGGCCCCCCGATGGGCTCGAAACTAGTTGGTGCCGCCACCGGACGAATATACGTGAGTGTTTAGCCGTGCTTATATATCAGTTTAAATAGCCTATGTGTTCTTCCAGAATATATTCTACTTATATGCCAAATGTCTTTGCGATCCATGCAGCCATTTTGGAGATACTTTCTATTATTCCTCCATCCATCCATACATCATAATATTTGAATTTATAATAATAGTAAGAATGGAGCATCTGTACAATTAAATAATGAATTTATTACAAAGAGGTAGTGGCAGAAAGTAACTTAGCCACAAATAAACAGTTTACTAGAAATTTCATCCAGATATGGTGAATTGCCATTTTTATGGCATTTTGAAGCTACAAAAACAATATAATTTACTTTGCACTCACAAAACCTTAAAAATGCATGTTACTTTAATATAATGATGCAAAAGCAAAAAATGTACTTTAATAATATTTATAACCTGTTTTTCATTATTGCAACAACACAACATAAACTATTTCTTTCCTTCAAAAAGTTTGTATAGGTTGTTTTTGTTATTAATGAATGCCAGTAAAAATTTAAAAATGGATTGTTGAACTAAGTGCATTAAAGACTTTCACTGTTCTTAGTATGCTGGCCAGATACATACAATAAAAAATATGGTTTAACTCATTTTTTTTAACTGGTCAGCAACAATTTTACTTATTTTTGATTTATGTTTAAATATTGTACTCTTAACTTTTATTTCATTAATATGTATAAATATATTGTAATGTAGTAATAGGTTATTGCAAACAAACAAAGAATATATTTGCTGCATTAATCGAAACAAAAATTTGGTAATGAGTATACTTTTTATGCAACAAAACCCCTATTGTTTTACGAAAGAAGACCAACGCCAAGAGAGGGTTTGGGTGTATACAAGATTGACGCAAGCGAAAAAATTCTGTTTTTACCATAAAACAGAACCGAATTTCAACATAAGGTACTATGAAGATTTTTTTTTAATCGCCGATGATAAATTATTGTAGATATATAAATACATGTCACAACAAATAACCTCAGACAGACAGCAACTTAAACTAACCGTGGTGACTCAGGGATCGTAATTAGTCAGACATAAGGGTACGGCACGCATTATTGTCACTTTTACTAACTTCACTAATACATTTGTAAAAAAATATACTCATTTATGCTCTAAAACTTAATAAAAACACAAATTCTATGCATAATGACACTAAGTAACACGAACAACCACAACTCTACAATGGCGCGTCAGGGATGCTTCAAACTTGAAATAAAACCGATGGTGTTAACGGACCACCTTCATTGAATTTCCTCTCAAACTGTACAGAGTTTAATTTTTATATAATAAAAATTTATTATTAGATATTAACTAAGTTCTTCAATAAAATACTTGTAAGTGATTTTGTATGTTATCAACGCCGTTAATTTTATTGTTTGTATTTTGTATTTTTTTACACTTGTTTTACAATTTTTATATATCCATGAAAATTTATGGAAAATGCAGTTTTTTACAAGGTTAAATTTAAAATTTATTATTTGTATTTAGAATTCACGTAGAAATATTATTAAGTTTAAAATAAAGAATATCTCAAATAATAAAACAATAAAATGTAATTTAGCACCTTGTAATAGATATGAACTCTGAACACAAGTTTTAGTTCTAGACACTATTCGTCTGCATTTGTCTGTCTTGTTTGATTAGTTTGATTTGATTAATTATAATGATCTGATTGAGGTGTGAAAACCACCAACGATAGTTATGTGCTATGTGGTTAATTAAACATTTAACAATTCATTTAAAGTATGTGTTGTGAAACGCATATATTATGGACATAACTACTTCGTATTATATTTGTTCCATTGATATTTTGTTTTTTGCACCTAGTTAGAAGCAAAAAAGTTGAAAATTAGTGAAAATGTAGAAGTATTATTTTTTTACACTAGTTCTCTGAAATTTTACTCTAATTTTCATATAGCAATAATAAACTGTCATCTTTTACAACTGTAAATATGTCAATGTCAAAACGTCGAAGTCAATGTTAGTCGACAATCATTATCATTCAATAATAATTAAATGATTAAATTATGATATATGATTAAATACTTCTTATGCGGAATGATATATATATATTTATATATATGACGATTTATTACTGTTTTTTTTATATCATAAGGTGGCAGACTAGCGAACGGCCACGTGAAATCGCTGAAATAGCGAAGTGACCGTTGCCCATAGACATACGCAATTGCATATGCGTTGCCTACCTTTAACAGAAAGAAAATATTTTCCCTTCCCATGCATCCTCTCATACTGAAAGTCCACTTCCACTTCCCATCTTTTCCTTATAAGAAAAAGAGTGGGAAGGGAAAGAGGACTAAATTAGGCCTCCGGGACGCGCACTTATCAGGCGAAACGCGGAATTGCTTCCACCTGAGGCCTGTCTTCTGTGTAGTTGTGGTATTTCACCGGGCCAATTTGTGCGAAGATGTTAAAGAGGGCTCTACCACTGTTAACTGTTGTTTGTTTTGTTATAGATGTCAGAGTGACTAATAATAAAAATAAACTACTTTACTACATTGCAGATAAAATTTTGCAACATCTGTCTTTGAGCAATCTCCTTAGAGCCTTCCCCTTCAATGCAACACTGGTGAAACAATCTGTGCCCAGTTGGCACACCTAAATGCCACTGCTCGGAAAATTAATGAATAAATATTTTCAGCATTTATTATATTACTTATAATTAATACTAATATACAAGCAAAATCTAAACCAATCTGAATAGTTGGAATCAAATCTTCTGCCGATCAAAGATCGCAACTAAGACATGATGCAACACAAAAACTAGTTTCAGAATTATAGACAAATGTTATTTGTTTGCTTTTACAAGTAACCCTTAGTTTGATATAAAGATGTATATCGTGCCATGGTGGTTCAATCATTACACAATCACATATTCTAGTTGTATGTGACAATCCACTTAGCCATTAGGGCTGAAATAAATTCTATTTGTGTTCATTATGTATTTGTGTAATATATAAATGGGATTAATTACATGAGTGTTAAGCCGTTTATAACTTTGCAAAACTGGTTTGAATATGACCATATAACATAAAATCTGGACCCTAAGGTCCTAAGAGTTTAAATTTTTGATGAGACTCTAATATATATTTCAGTACCATTGGTTCTGCCTCAGTTGCGACCACAGCTATAAAAGTCTACCGAGGTGCAGTACTTTACCTCTTAATATAATCTCAATAATAAGCAAAAGGTTTAATAATTGAAATAATTAAGAGTAAATGAGTATGAAAATATCAACTAAAATAAACATGACAGTTCAATGCGCCAAAGAACTTTATTAATATGAATTTGTTACAGTCATAATAAAATTATAATTAAAACACAATTTGTATACTAAATGCTGGATAACATAGCTATAAAATGAAAACAATCAGGTTATGCAGAGAATCAAAAATATATTAATGTCCTTAACATTGAACTCAAATAACTCCTTATTTTGCATAACATGTATTTTGATGAGCATTCCCTCTACACCAATATACATGGGAAACATTGCTGTGTCCCTCATTGTCTATAAAGGAACTCATATAACATGCTTTTTATATATTTTTATCATTAACAAACAACTATTAAAAATAAATTAAAACTTATCTAATTTTACTACTGAATTTATTTGAGTAAAACCTTATGTGCAACACACAACACAAAAAAAAACATCTGTTTATTTGTGAACAGCTAGATAATAAATGTGTAATAATTTATAGATAATTAGTTGTGATGATTTTGATTTAACTGTGAAAATCTGATCGGCAGGATAGCGACGGGCTCCGAGCTGTCTGGCTTATCGATGTAAATGCTCCATGTCTTTGCCGACATGTCGAATATACCTGTAATGAAAACATACTGTTTATTTGACGCCACTAAAATTTCATGAAAATATCATTACAGACAGCCCAGAAAAAATACAAACAAATTCTATGAAAAAAAAATATTTACAATGTTATTGAACATCATTGAATTAAAATGAAGTTGAAATATAAATCCGCAAGAGTATAAATTTCTCGATGATGAAGATAAATTACAATATTACAATTATAAAGGAAACATTTGTATTTTTATATGTAACATAATCAGAAAAACTACTTTCAAAAGTTTCTTTTCATGTTAGAAAGTTACGCAACGACAGTGATTTTCTATAGATAATATTATCTTCTACAATTTTACATTTACGCCTAGAGTACTAAACACGTGAAGTTCGCATCACGTACTCTAGATGGCGTTGTCTTAAGTTTTCAAAAAGACATTACTGATTTTAACGATCCCGGTCAGGGCGAAAAATGTATCGTTATTTGTCCACGACAAAGACAATTTTTCTACTTAATCAGACTTTTCAAATTGAAAGGATGTATCGAAACTATTGTTTTTTGGATTCTGATGTTTAAAACCATTGTTGCGATATCACTCATAGTAATGAGGTACAGTATGAGTTACCAGCGGCTATAGTCTGTATGGGGGCGTCCAATCTGGTCTGGAAAACGGGGAAGTCTTTGTAGGTGGTGTCGGAGAGCACGCGCTCGATGTCGCGCCGGGAACGCGGCGGCGAGTGCCGGCGGATCGCCTTCATTCTGGTCACGCTGCTCTCTATTATGTCGCCCGTCACTTCCTGCACTCGCTCGCGAAGATATCTGTAAAGGTATTATTTCACCAACACCGTTATATTCTATCATTCGTGCATATTCTTAACTTAAACATCATCATCCACTACCTGCTCTTTACCCTACTCAGGTTTATTAGCACAGTACATTCTCTATCAAGCTATGTTGTGTTCTTTATCAATTATGTATTATACTTACGCATTGCAATGCATCAGTGTATCATTAGTATACTTCTGGATGTTTAAAATAGATTTGTTGCCGCTGAGATTAGGCGCCACCTCTATGTTCATCAGATCGCGCTCTCCATTCTCTGAGGTCCATATGACATTGGTTGAGAAACCATTGCCGATGCCCAAACCCTCGTCGAGAAGGATTTTTTCAGCTTCCGCTGGAGTTCTGGCCGTCAATAAAGCTCGTGTAATAAACATGCGTGCTGAAATAATTTTTTTAGTACTATAAATCACAGATATTTCGAATAATATTAATCTTATATGATTTGTGAAGAAATAATTGAAGATTTAAGAAATAAATATACTAACGAGTATTGCCAGGTTTTAGGAGGAGGGGACTGAGGGTGTTGATGGTGAACACAAGACCGTATTCGTTGAAGCCCATCGTGTAGCCTGGAAGCTGGCCGGCGTAGCAGACCGAAGCGAATCTCTCTTCGACAGCCTATAAGAAGTAAAATATTTTAAAGTATTAATGTATTAAAGGTTAAAAGTTCATAACTTCTACATTGTTGAACAATTAAATGTGTATATGTAAGTACTAACGCCGAGTTCTCTATCCTCTGGTGTGGGTATCACGTGCGCTGACATTATGTAGAAATGGTTCACTGTTTCCATCGGCGCGTCTTCAGTGTGACCGAGCACGACCTGTAATCGATGTATACGATACGAGTGAAGTTAAGACAAATAGCTAATACTCTTCAGCTGAATTTATAGCATTAGAGATCAGAGTGCTATTACGTTTTCCGGAGATTTGAAGGCGATGTCACTGCAGCCGCCGTCATCAATACGGTTTGAGGTCTTATCGTTGATAGTACCAATAATGTCGTCCATGTGAAGCAGGAACAACTGAAAATTAATTCGTATGCTATTAATTGTTATATCTATTTATCTACATATACATTTCAGTTTGATGGCTTTATACGTGGTTTTATCGCGTCTATTATATGTCTATTCCTTGCAATGAAGTTGTTTAATTGACAACTATTTTTGTTATCAGTTTCTTCGCGTCCCAGTTTGGTGTGTTTACAAATTGATAGCTTAGTAACCTCGCAGCAATAATATCTTAATCACACGGCTTTACATATCTGACACTTTGGATTATTACCATTACCAATAAAACTTAATTCATCCTGGACTCGTATTTCGCTCTAACTACCGAAAGAAATCTTTTCTTATCTATTAAGTCTCCTATTCGGAAACTCTCTACGCACTACCCTCTTAAAGCATTTCAATTAAGATTTTGTATGGATTCGACACTGACCTGATAGAAAGGAACCTTAGCTCCGTCAGCGATACCTTGGATTTCCTTCACGTAATATGGATACCTTTGCTTCATGTTGAGTAGAGTATTGTCGTAAGCAGCGCGCCCTGACGGTGTGTTGTATTCTCTTTCAAAATCCTTCAATCCTTGATACGTTTTGAGGAAACTTTGTATTATGGAAGCAAAGTTACGACCCTGAAATTACAAGTAATTGTCCATAAGAATTTTCATATTACTATTAGACATTTTACAATAAAAAATATTCTGATTTATTTATGTATAATGATAGTCACTTGTCAGTAAATAAATTATTCATATAAATCGTAACAAATCCATAGTAAGCAGTTATCTATTAAGGCCGTTACTTTGCTATAAATATTATATTTCTATTAAACATATTGTTAAAATATTATATCTTTCAAAAGTATACATAGCGCTACAACGCGCGTATTTATAAAACATATTTTTAGCGGATTGTATTTACTGTTTCCTATGGTTGTTAAATGTAAAATTATAACAAAATAGTATACCAAGACAGTAGTTCATCGCAAATAATATTTTCATAATAATTACTTGTATAAAAGTATAAAAAAAAACTTAACGACAAAATAAGAAATAAGAATGTCATGTTTCGTTGAAACGATTATGTACAAGTAATGGGAATAATTTATGCAGATAACTAGATTTGTTGTGTACATTCGTGCAGTACATACTTATTAAAGGTAATAATATTACGTAACTTATTAATTTTATTGTTATTTAAATTATATAAGACGTATTATGCGTAATATTTACGGATTTAAAAGTCGGGAAATATATACCTAGTTTTAAAATATTTCAGTCTTGTTCATTTGTACCTTCTTTCAAAATATCAAACAAAGTGGAAATTTAAAAACTCTGGAAGAACACATGGGAACACATTATTATTAAATTCCGCGTGGACGAATGCAAAAGCTATGTTTTATAGAGTCAGCGTATCAAACTTGAAAAGTGATATAGTACCAGTACCACAGCACCAGTGCGGATGTTTGCTTCACGATATCCGGTCTATGTATTCTTAAATATGTTTCACTCAAACATTTCAAACATCATTAGATGAAATGACTGACGGGTGCGGCGGAAGCGCCTGCGCGTCGCGAGCCTCTCTTACTATATTTTTATGTAAAATCGTATTATCGTGGGAAGTGATATACAATAATCATTGTAGGTATTTCCTGTTTGTCGCGTCGTTAAATGTTGTAAAAGTATAAGTAAAGAAATCGAATTAACAAGCAAGGGCGTTTATAAGTTTTTTGGAGAATTAATTACATGCAAAGCAAATTCAAAAATATAATTACAAAATTCTTACCACATCGTATCCGACTTCGTAATGGGAACCTTGTAAATAGATGACCGGAACCACTCGGCGTCTACCGATATGTTTCTCACTTAGCGAAGTACCTGTAACAACCACAAGTTCATAACATTTCTTTTTTATTACGAGTATATGTTCAAAACAGTTATGACACATTAAAAAAACACATACTTGCAATTTTTAAATATGCTTTATGATGCCCCCGACGGACCTCATCACAAGGAATAAATTAGTTGAATACTTTGAAAATGGATTCATCTAGCTAGAATTTGAGCCGTTCAGTTTTGTATAAAATACATTATTGCCGTATTTGTCAACACATATCCTATAGGCATGTCTATTCAAACTATTAAGAGTTTCCTTTGTCGCTTATAATCACGTTTATAATCATTAAAAAACCCTTATCTTTAGGAAAGTTTTAATTATAGGTGTTTAAATAATTGTAAATATGTAACACGAATATCGAATCACTACGCTTGTTGTTGTTTAAAGTACTGCTGAATTACTCATCATAATCAAAGACACCTCGCATGTTTTTTCTTATACTTTTATTTTGACTATACTTTAATTTATGAATAAACAAACAGTATGACATTGTTAAAGCTCGCGGGAACGCAAGATTCTTATAAAAATATTACCTACATACATATATCAGGCGAAACAGTTGGATTTCTAAAGAAAAAAAATGACAATACATTCGTTTAAATTCTATGTATTTCCTTAAAATAGAATCATATTAAATTATATTTGCAAATCTCCACACGCGAACTTGTATCCCTCTAACGAATTTTATACACATTATTGTGTTCACGACACTCCAGTGATATCTGGTTGTTTAACATAATAACTTACCTTCATAAATAAATTATAATGCACGAAGCTGCAGTTTCTAAAATGTTTTAATTTGTTTGGCATTCATAAAAAAATTTAAATTATTTTATAAACCACTTGCGATTGCAGTGCCAAAAAAGTTGAAATTTTTAAATAAAAAAAAACCTTATTCCGAATTTTCATATACTATAAGTTCAATGAACTCAATAACTACTATTTCAATTTTATTTTTAAGTTTTGTAGGACACAAGCCCTCTCTAATTTGCCTCAGAATTAGTACACTGGCTTAAGAACGTATGTGTTACAAACATAAAATTTTTTATTTAGAATATTTTGTTTTACTATCACCAAAAATAATAATGTGATAATTGACTAGACAATTATAAATCAAACTGCTGTCCCGAGGCAATAGTAGAATCGTCATGGCGCTGAGTTAGAATTGATAACTTACTCACCATTTAGCCCTCTCATTCTGATTTTTACGACAGATATACAATATGTTTACAATAAATACACAAGAGGCCGTCGCAGGCCAGCGGCACGGCAGAGACTGCGCGCCTCTGCCTCCACTCAAACTTTAATATATATCTACTTGTTCCTGCTACTGCTACCACCAATGCGGAGCACCTATCAAGGATAAGCTGAAATGCAAAACAGCAACACACCTGGAAATTTTATCTAAGAAAATATAACATTAATATTAAAATTGACCGCTACATTGAAATAAATTTCTGCCTGACTTATACAACATATAAAAACCATTTTGAAATTTTTAACGTCTAATCTCAAGCGTTTGTTGTATACTTTGTATTTTTTTAATATTTAATATCTTTCTCTTAATTTCTTGTTCAAACAGTAAAGGAAAATAACCAATCAAATCATATCGAGCACTATAATGTTTGTTTCAATCGAGTGTAATATAACAAAGAGAATTTCCCGCGAGATTTTTCTTGCAAACTTACTACCACACAGTCGAGACTATGAACCAACAACTAACTAAAAGGTCACAAATCATTTTCATTTGTTATATAGGTAATAAAGCTGTAACCTTCGTTGAATAAATGAAACTAAATAAATGATTTCATTCTTTCTTAAGAGTTTCTCTTATAGAAAGCTTTATAGTAATCCTAAACAAGTGAAAACATATTACTCATATATCGAGTTCAATCTTAACGCAAGACAACGTTGCGTTGACAGTTAGATCTTGTTAAGAAAGATGCTAGTTGATGTATGCATACATACATACATACGTAATACTTGTGTATATTGTGACGTTTCTTGCTGCACGCGTATTTTGTCACTACAGAAACATTACATCGTTTTTTTTCTAAAGCGCTTCAAATGTTGATAACCTTAATACCTCTAGTTTTTTTTGGGTATCTGTGAGTTTTTATTATTAATTTAAATTTTCAAAACAAAATGTTATTTGACTTTAATAACTATATTTTATTTAATTATCATTGACGTGTGGGAACGTTGTCGATCGACGTTGTGGTTGGAGTCGACTTTGTGATTTGTAGGAGTCGTTTGTTTCTTTACTTTGGTGAAGTAACGAAACAAACAACGTCTTAATTTTGGCTAGAGTTACCTAGGAAACACACACACATATATAAATTGGAATTATATGTATAATAAATATCGTGGGAGCGTTGTGTTACATTTTTTAAAGAACGAACGAATATTTAGTAGGTAAATGTACAACGTTGTATAACGTTGGTAGCCAGTCAAAGTTGATTGTACTGTGGTATATATAATAATATACTAATTATCTAGGAAGACATATGAGAGCTATGCTTTACAGATGCTGAGTTTTATTCATAAAGTTTCATTCCTACCCCTTGAATTTTTGTTTGTAACTTTATTATAAGTTCAATATAAAGTAAGCGAATGTAATATTACCTATCGACAGAATAGATACGTATCAATTGCGCTAGTCATGAGCAAATGCAAAAAAGAAACCAATTTATGAAAGGAAATACTTCCTTGTGGGTGATATGGCCAGTGAGAGAACTTTTATCGCGGCAATGAAGTCGATGGCATTGAAAAACGTAAGCCGCTGTCCCGGCTGTAACATTAAACAGTGACATGTTAATACAATAACAACTACAATACATTATATTGTTATGTAACACTTCTAGAATTCTAGAAGTTTTTCTTCAAATTTCAACTCCGGACTCACGTCGGTCTTATGATATGGCATATTTTTCCCTTTAGCAATTTCTTATATTTTAGTTTTCAGGATTTAGGAAATACTGTCTCAAGTTTCAGATTTATTTGTTTTTTTCATGTAATGCATTTTTTTTCTTTTTCACCACTACAAAATATTAAAGCCTTATTCATTTTTAAAATTCTTACTTATACCCATGGTAACTATTTAAATTTACAATAAAACAATCCAATGTATATTTTTATAAGGGTTTAAGGAATTTTAATGTGACTGGAATTACGAATAGCTTATATGCAATAGAAATTAATAACATTGTTAGCGTATAAAACATTCTTATGTTTGCAATTGTTCATTGTAGTAACGACAAACGCACTTGCCTGCGATAGTCTGGCCTGAAGGTCACATCGGCAAATAAATCTTAATTTCAAGGTCAGTATATTATAGTATTTTATTAATTCCAGTCCTGATGACCCATTAACGTATTAATTGCAAGTTCACAGAAGTAAAAAAATATAATGTAAATATTGTATTTTGTAATATACATTACTAATATATAATGAACTATGTATATAGATACTCGTAATTCTTTAAATAATCGGCTCGTTTGAAAGCAGCGTTAATAGCACTATTGGATATCGTCGCAAATAAATAATGTAAAAAGACATTTCATTATTAAATATATTCTGGCTTTGACTATGTATACTTTACATACATATATGGAGTTATTTTTGTTGACTAAATTTTTAATTAGGTAGTATTAGCTGAGATTAGCTGAATGTGTAGCTGCATCTGTTGCAGCTATAACAAACGTAATGTTCACAAACTTGTAGTCGCCAGTTCAGAGTCGGCGTCGATCGTTCTACTCTCGTAATGTGGGTTGTTGTGTGTCACTGGCAACATTAGATGGCAACAGCCAGAAGCCAGGCGTTAAGTGCTTAGTGATACTTTGTGGGAATCGTATGGGATCATACAAATAATGTCTATACTACAAAGGAATGTGATTGTAAATAGAGTAGTTATTTTCTTATTTATGTTAGTGCTAACTTCCTAAATAGATGTAACAAAGCCTTGAAGTAACCGGGTTGACCTGGCTATCAGTGTGACGCCTGCATGTAACGTCACCACGAAACATGACGTCACGTACGTATTCTTTCTTTCCACTAGTGTAGGGTGTCGATGGCGCATTCATTTCGCTTTTATATTTTTGCTATCACTTTCTCACGCTTTCTTATTGCACTTAAATTATTTCCTTATGGCCAGTTTTTCTATGCACTGTTATATGTTTACAATATCAAAATCGGCAGGATTGGTGCCGATGGATACTTCAATACGCTACCAGCATCATTATCATTATATGTATATATATATATATATATATATATATATATATATATATTCTGAGTA